TCAATATAATTAACGAGGAGTACTCAAATATATCTCCGACTTGGAAAACTGAAAGCAAGAGGTAATCAGAGATTAGAAACTTCGTCCGATTAGAATTTTTGATTAATTAATTAATCCTCTCCAACCGACAGATCAATATAATTAACGAGGAGTATTCAAATATATCTTCGATTTGAAAAACTGAAGGCAAGAGATAATCGGAGATTAGAAACTTCACCCGATTAGAATTTCAGATGTCGGTTTACAGGAGGATTCACGTTTAACGCGTCCGTCGAACATATTACTCTTCCCGTTATCGCGGTCGGCATGCTGGCAGGACCTTCCAAGCAGGATGATGCATCGTGCGCATCATGCAAACGCTTTCCAAGCTCGCCAACCTCCCCGCGCTCTGGCAATCGTATAGACAAGTGCCGACAATAGATATTCCGCAACGCCCACGTTAGCGGGAGACAAAGGCCTGAATGGCCGGCAGATGCACGCTCTGCGCCGACGTCGTAATGCAGCGACGTCCGTCGATTTAGAACGCAACGATGCGCCCGTACGTACGTACCTATGTCCATACGGTGTGTACGTTCGTTTATTCGTTCTTCGTGACGAAGGTGCGGTACGTAACAGCACGAACGCGAATCGTACACCGTCCCCTGCGTCTCCGCGTTCTCCACGGCTCGCCGTGTGCGTCAACCAGCTTGCACGTACGTACGCTCGAGGTTACGTAATTCGGAGAAGAGCACGCGGCCGGAGGAGCGACCGGTGACGACACCTTCGTCGGAGAGAAGAGAAAGAGATCCGGGAGTGTCCACTTCACGGAGGTAGACCACAGCCCAGCCCACGTTCCACGATCGACCGACGTTTCTACGATCAGAGATTCTCTTTCTGTTATACGGAAATTTTTCTTTACTCCATTCTAATTAGAGATCGAGGATCATCGGACAAACGAAAGCGCGCGACAATGGATTTTCGGAGGAAAAAGCGAAACAATTTCTAGATTTTATAGAGCTTTGGAATGAAATCGATGAATTTCTTACACCGCAAGATTCCATAACGAATCCTGAACGTAGCGAGAGGACAACTAGCAGTCGGTTCAGTTCATAAATGGAACGAAGCAGCTTCTCGACGCTCCCGCGAATTATTTACGAGCTATAAACGCGATGGAATGGTTGGTTTCTCCGATGATTTCGAAAAAATTCAAACGATCGACCTGATAACAGCGGACGAAGAACGGTTCTGGTTATGGAAACGGCCAGCTCGTCCAGGAGGATCGCGTGGGCGGCTATTTGCCTATTTACCCACATCCGATGGGAAATCGAAATTAGAAATCAGAGAGATGTAGGTGCTGATTTCTAGTATCCATCCAGCCACGTGAAATCATGCTGATCGTCGATCGTCGAGCATCATAAATTCTGTTCAACCAGCAACAACGGACGATGACGACTTTTGCGCCTGTCCCAGTTTCCATATTTCTGCTCGATTCTGCACTCCATCTGCATCGCTATTAACACGATTGCGTGACTGGTGTTTGCAATAAAATCTCGATTCATCGATTCCGTACGAAGAAATTCATTCGGGTACACATGAAACATAGACCAGAAGACTCACTTCCTTCAAATTTGAATTTCGATGAAAGAAAAATCAACCCAACTCGCATTCCGTTAGATGAAGCAAACGCAAGAAATTATTATTTCATAAGCCATCCACCAAAATCCCAAAGTGTCTAAACAGGAAAGACATTCGAAAAAGGCGAAACACTCTCCAGCTAAACGTACCTGTTTACCCAACCGGCGAAGTCATTAAATCACTCGAATCCAGCAATATATTCGAGCATCGAGGATATCTCTAACGAGCCTGTCTCCATCGTCCGGCTCGCATCGAGCAGGAAAATCCGACAAGCAATCAAACGACGAAAGATTCCACGGTTAGCGCAAGGAAGGGGGCGGGTAGGTAGCATCGAAGCACGATGACCACGATGGAATCCACGACTATCGGAAGCGATCACGAAATCTTCGGGCAATAATTCAGCCCCTGGCCCCTCGCCACCTCCTGTCCTACCGTTCGACAACGATGTTCTCGTAGACTTCGGCAGAGGAGCACGCTGCCGTCGCCGCATCGTTGAACAGTTAATGCTCGCATAATACGTGCACGGCAGAACGGCCGGAACCAGGGGGGACGGGTATTGTTACTAGTTTAGGTACCGTTATTTTCTTGCAGTTGACAGAAATTCCTTAAAGTACAAAGGTGAGCCTGCTATCGACGAATCTACCGGGTTTCACGGGAAAAACCGCGGATCTTGACCCCTCACGAAGCCACCTACAACGTGCCCATGATTTCAATGTATGGAATTTCCTTAAGCGGCTCCCGGTAAACTGATTTGCATTGTTTATACTCGAAGAAGGGGATAATTTACGTAATTCGTGACGTTTCGCGATACAAACGATCAGCGATACTGTCAGAGGATCGACACGTCGCGTAAAAAAAGAAAAAGAAAGCGAAACGTTCCCGCGGTCTAAATTTCCCAGACCAGAGGCGTCTAATTACCAGACGGCGATGGCGGAAAGGAATTAAAACGTAAACGTCAAACGCGAAAAAGATAGGTAACAAGGTAGCAATGTATCTCTGCTGGGCCGCGAACTCTTTACACACAATTACGTGTACCAGGTGAACCGAGAGAGAGAAATATTACGTCGTGGCCGGTGCATAGAGTATGCAGTTACCGGTAGTCGCGGTAATATCGCATCGCGAACAGCCGCCAGAGAAGAAGAGGATGGTCGAGATTAGTTCCGATTGCTCGTGCACCGCGGAGTTATAGAAGGGTTGCCCGCCTCGGCCAGCCATCGATCCCGGCTACCGGCTTCTGCCCGTTAATGAGTCATGTTTAATTGGCGTGGGAAGCCCGTGGCTACGTCCACGTAACGGAATTGAACTGTACCCGATGCAACAGTGGCTTGCTTGCAACGTAAATATACCACCGGCTGTCCGCCACAGATCGACCTTAGATGCTTCTGGACACTGAATGGCAAATAATCGAACGAAAGAAATCTTAACGAGAGGTGTCTCGATAAGAGTCTGAAGAATAAAAATATTTAAATCGCGACGCAGTTTCGCAAGTGGTAAGGACGTTCTTATTCCAGACACGGCCGGACTGGAAGCCGCTTTTCGAAAGAATCCACAGCTCTACGGCTACCTTGACGACAGCCAGGCATTCAGCATCAAATCGCGATTTCTCAGACGGCAAGGATTTAACGCGGCTGCGTTCACCGATGCAACTACAACGGGTACGAAGCAGAAACGTTGTGACGCGCGCGGCAGATGGTACGCGACGGACAGGCCATTTCAAAGGATTACTGTTACGCACGAGTTCCTAGAGACTGCTGTCAGGCCAGGCCTAACTACACCGGTATGCAAATAAACGACATCGGTCGGGACGCGTTAAAAAACGCACAATAAGCTTGCAACCCGCGCCACCGAGCATTGTCTCCAGTCTAATCACGACTGCGGTGCATTTACGAGCCACCGGTTAGACGGACGTAGCCTCCGAACGTAGAGGCTACCTTTTCCGAGAGGCGGTTCTCGTATTCTTTGCGTTACTGTGCCACGTAGTAATATGTATCGCGAATACCAACACCAGTCACACCCATCGGAGAGCCCGACCCTGTGGGTGGCGCCACGTACCCGTGAATAAGTCCTACGAATCGCTTGTAAGCCCATCCGTCCGCTCTGAATATTCGCCAAAGAACAATACCTTCTTTCTCATCTTTCCTTTATTTCGTAACCTTGCAAAACAATTTCCAAGAATGAAACGAGAAGGATCATCTTTTAAAAGATTTTCAAGTCTTTAAACACCGAAACTCTCGTACCATCGTCCAGTTCGAACGGATCGGCAAAAAGGAAAGTATAAGAACGACGAATGAAATAGTCGCAAGAAAGTGTCAAGGTATCCAGTAGCCAGGTTCATTGGCGTACTTCGAGATCCATGTACGATCGCATAGCTAAATCGACACCTCGCCATGGAGTCGGCGCTAATCGTCTCTCCCCGTGTGACGTGCCGACATACCGTGGTTCTTGCTAACAACCCTGACGCTCCCTATTAGTAGCCCCATATATATAAGTGTATAAGGAACACTGACGCGTCCGCGCAGCCGGCTGGCATCACGATTCGGGTGCCATCACGTACCGCACGGAATCGAGCGGGTTTCCATTCGCGGCCAATCGACACGAGCTTCCATTCGGATCGATATCGATCGCTGATCGTGATCGCGAGCGGTAAACAAATGGAGATACCCTTGCAAATAGACGCGTCGTGAGAGGGAAAAAATCGAATAGACACTTTGCGAAATGGTTTCAATGAAATGGAGTTCGATCTAAACGGATGGGAATAAGATCGCCATCTCTTTCATGTTCGAAGCATCTTGGAATGCTTGGAAATCTTTTTTTAATATTCCACTTTTACTTTATAAAGGAATTTTGTAATGTTTTTAACCTAAGTCTCTCTCATCTTTAAATAAATAATTCATTAACGTATTAGTATTGAATTCGAAACTCCTATGATTTCTAGATAGATTACAGATTATTCAGCTCCTACCGTGACAAGCTTGAGACGATCGAGCATTATTATTAAAGCTGCAGACCCTTCTTAGCGAACCGATACCAGACGCAACGGAAACCGGTCTTTAATGTGTGCACCAATTAGATTTGTAACCCAGAATTCAAACTCAAATCTACCGTTTATCAGATCACTGTTCTGTCAATCAAGCTGTTCGAGTCATCGAATTCCTCCTCTCTAACGTCTGAGCGTCACCTATCGGTCTAACGTATGTAGATAAACATTTGTACGCAAATGGTGCTCTGTTCGCATGCAAGTACATTGCAAGTGCATTCATATTGAATACGTCGTAATCTGTCTACAAATATTACGATTATTCTGCTGATAAGATGGTTAACCGTTTTCATAAACGACTATAGAATGTACAGAAAAATTGAGAAAAATAGAAGAAAATCTGACATACCTCCCTAGACGTTGGTGCCCCCAGGAAGCAGGGGCTGTCCGGGCGGCGGGGCGCACTGGCCCACCGCTTGCTCGAGAGCTCGCTCTCATCCTGAAACAATAAACGTGACCTGTAATTAGACAAGACGAAGGTAAAGGTGATAGGCGGCCAGGCTTGATGAGCGCTATTATAGCAATCGTAATGGACCCCTTGGAAACCAAATTGCTGTTCGCAGAAAATTAGCGAGAACAATGGAAGGGGGACGTCAGTGGGTAAACTTTAGTTGCACCATGTTGTTCGCAAAAATTCAAAGATCCATTTCGATTCTGCTAACGCAACACCTAGCCAAAGAAGAATGCATTACGTCATGCTGAATAAAAAAAGCACGCAAATAATGTGAATAAAATATGATTTAATTGGCGTTTTAAAGAGCGACGGTCAATCGAATGGATCGAACAGAGTAAAATTTGAAATTGCATCGAATTTATTCGCGTGTAAATTTTCAACTTTCGCTGCGCCGCGTTTTCTGATAAGGATGGCATAAAAATTGCAACGTATATCCCGTGTCGTTTTACGACCACGATATTCCGCGCTTTTTTCCCCCCGCTCGTCGACGTGGCTCGCGCTGTGTGGCCAGACAAATAAACGCACTCACTCGCGGCAGGAAAGTACGAGCGAGCGTTGAATCGAGCGCAATTTTCCGGCGGCGCCGACGCGAATCGATGCGACTGCAAACGGCTCGTAGAATTGCATTTCGCGACACGATTAAGCCAACGCTCATACGACCGGCACGGCCGGGAAACAGCAGGGGCGCTCTAATGGATCAATTACACCAGTCATTTGGAGTGAAACGAAAGAAATGGTCGCCGAGAAATGGTGGTAGGCTCGAAGGTACGCTGCAGTGGAATAATTAAGATCGCATCGCGCTGCGGTGTCAACGTAAATCGTTTCCTCCGCGAGAACTCGCGAAGGATTTTCATAGAATTCGCGAGGAAATGAAATATATATATGTTACCGGCAATGTATAAAAGACAGGCATTGTATAGAACTCCTAGTCTGTACGGCGTTTGTATTTCTCACAAAAATAAAACTTGAAAAGAGAGTCATGAAAAGGTGTTCGTTAAAAATACATAAATGAAAAAAGAAAATACCACGCGACATTAGAAACGTCATCAGCGAGAGTATTTTATACTTCTGGTATTGCATAGAATGCCTAGGAAATGTGTGAAATATTAATCTATTAATATACATTCTTACTCGAAAGTGTTTCTAAGAAAATAAAGATTTATTTTTTATATAATATCACTATTTTTTTCTCGTGCTATCAGTTACGCGATATCGCAAGTATCGCTGTAATTTCCAATCAATTACATCGACTAACAAGAATATTACAGTCTTATGTAAGCAGAATTTAAAGACTCATAGTAGTGTTCTCCATCGAGCAGTGAACTTGCAGAATCAACAAGAGATTGCTTTATTAAGAAAATTCAAGTGTTTTCAATTCGATTGAAGCAAACGTATTACAAGCTAATGTCTCGGTACGAGACAAAACCATAAAATATTGTCAGGTGTCGCAACCGCAATAAAGTCTAGTAAGAAACACGTCACGCTCCGCCTTCTTTGTGCAATCACTTCGATAATGCTCAATTAATGAGCATTATCTTCGATTCGAGACGTCAAGTTTACGATCACCACTCGCCACTATGGACCGATCCCCGCTGACGATCGTAAAATTAACGAGAAACGATCCAGAGGCGTCGTTAACAGGGTGAAAATCCATTGCCTACGTTCATTATCTTTGCCCATATTCTGGCAGCTTGATGCGTTATTATCCTCGCGTTATTATTACATATTGCATTATTACGCAGCCAGTTGCAACAAGTATTACCGATGTTACGTTTACTTTCGCTAGATTTCTCCTATTTCCCGTAATACCTCGAGATTACCGCTGAAATTGAATCGGCTCCTTTGGACACGGAGCCCCGAGCGATAACGAGCCCAAACATAGGTGTGTTTCCCGTCGAAATACATCAATTGTAGCCGAGATCAATTTGTTTTTTAGCTTTAGAAATGAAGAAAATAATTTTATATCGAAAAACCAGTGATTGCTTTATATCCTATCATAAGCTATTTTCTAATTTAATAAAGACCATGCATTTTGTAATAGTTTGTTTATAAAGATGTCACGATTTTTATCCCGGAATCACGTAAACGTAAAACAGAGCCAGGCGAACTCATTGGTTTCGCAACGATAAAGTAATTCTACGAGCTACAAGGTAGAATCGCAGCTCGATGGCAAGGCACTCGTGCGAGCGGGTGCGATTAAATGCAAATGAGAAAGCGATAAAAATAGCCCGTTCGACAGGAAAATTCCTAATTAACGAGCGGTGGAACGGACGAGCTGCCTCTTAATTATTATCAGCGAACGTGGATGCTCGATCTACATTTATGAACGCGGGCATAAACGCGAGCCGATCGAATCGGTCTACAGTCTACACGATACGGAGGCGTGCACGCATGCTTCTCCTCGGCCTTCCTCTCGTTCCCACGCCGTCTTTAACTCGCTAATGGATTAGAGAGCTTTCAAAAGCTCCGTCAACTCGGGTAAAAGTCTTCTACCCGTGTCTAATCCATTCTGTTCATCGCGTTACGCCAATCGTCCGGACGATTAATTACAAAACTTTCGGTCATAAAAACAACGATATGGAAAGTGATTTGCGCCGCAAGCAGATAGATGTACGCCGCGTCTCCTCCCCGACAGCCAACCGGGCCCGGCTTTGGAATAATGTATGAAATCATCGACGAATGCGAGCGCGTCCGCTTGCGCCCATTCTCCATATGCAGCTTGTAGCTGTAAGGAGGTGAAACGCTTACGTAACACGGGGCATTAGCGGAATATTTATAACGTTAATCGTCGAACCGGGCTGATTACGCGCTCGATGCACGTTGCGATCGAAAGGACAATCCCCGTTAATCCGATCTCGCCCCCAATCTTCGCACGTTTCTTCGAACCAACGTTTTGACGATTTTCCATCGTTCGAGACGTGTTCGTGTCCGATACCCTTCACGTTTCAACGAGATTTAACCCGATACCTTACCATAAACGTCAATCCGCTGTCGAATATTAAGAGGAAGAATCTGTTTGTCGCCTGGGTGGCTTTTTTCATGAAAAAGAAATTGGTTGTTCTACACTTGCATAGCTAACGGGCGCAGAAGTTCCAATAAGAAGCTCTTCAATCGCAACGATTTATACCGGATACTGGTAATATCCCGAACAGAAATATGGAATGCGAGAGGCTACCGTGCAGCAACGCTCGGGTCATTCAATGAAGGAAAACAATGGGGGGCTTGATTTATGGGGGCATTACCGACAACCCACGTACATGCTTAGATCTACATATTATACCAATATTCTCGATGTTTACTGGCCGAGCATTACCGCTATCCGCGCACACGATGTGATTCACGTGAGTCTCCTCGCTACATCTTCCGCAACAGTCGACCACCGCGGTGTCTCTCAGAAGTATTCGAGCTTTTTAATAATTCCTTGGCGGTAACTTCAATGAGAATTGTAAGAGATTACTTCTTTTTGCATGAAAAATACGTTTAGTTTACTGTATATTAAAAAAAAAAAAAGAAATGAAACATTTTCAATTATTCGTGGAATGAACGAAGATAATATCTTGCATCCGGCTACGATATAAAGACAAGATAATAAGTCATACGTGAAAGAAAAAGAGGATCGGTACGCACCATGGGGAAACCATAAACATTGTGGCATTGCTTCGGCACGTTGTTGCATCGAACCGTTGAGTCATTGGCAAGCCGGGTTGCTCGTAAAAGGAATAAAAAGGAACGGAAGTGAAGCAGGTCCTTGGGACGTAAATCACAGGATGCGGTAAACGCACTAAGGAGGATATAATGATGACATATATCATCGTACTAATAGTAGGACCGCGATACGATCACGCTGGGCGATGGTCGCTAAGAAATGGCCAGAAACTGCCCCCCAACCGAGTCCAACCGACCGACCATTTCGTACGCTTATAATCGACCCACTCGCCCGGATAATTGCATTCGTTAAAATAACTTCACGTAACTATAGTCCTTGTCCCTTGCGATACTCGAATTTTTCTTTTATTCTTCTCCGTGACCCGAAATCGTCGATAAAACTTGGAATTATCCGTCGTAAACATCGTACAAATTTAAGTAAATTAATGTATATTTTAGTGTAATAGATGCAAATTTCTTTGTTAGTGCAATCACAAAGAGCAGCAGATGGGAAAGGAGTTCAAGTTGGAAAAATCTGCATATGCAAACTCGCGGTTATCTCAGAGGAATCTGAGGGTGTTGCGTACATCTAGGCTCGTTCGTTTTACGCTCATTTCGAGCACGAGCACCGTGGAAGAGGACGAACAGGTAATTAGCGACGCTCGAGCAAAGAGCACGCGTGCCGGGGCAACTTAATTACGAATTTCGAAAGACGAAGCTCACGAGCCGTGGCGAAGGGAAAGGTAATTAATTTGGGGAAAAAAGGCCTGGTCGCGTAGTCAACTACTTAACACCCCACTATCTGGCTAAAAATGAATAGTAATTAGTTTCAAATAGTTGCAGTGTTAATTGCGGTTTCAATCTCTCCCATTTCATTTTGTTTCGTAGCAAGTTTATCAATGAAAAAATTGAAAAAAGAAAGACAAACTATCACCAGTGTGTTACACCAGCGGCTTTTAATTTTCTCCGCGAAACAGTTCGCGTATTTTTTCAGCCACAGCCCCCGGTGAAAGTCTCCGCAGCCTCCTATTTGCTGGCACGAAAGCGAGGGAGAGCAACCACGAAGCCGACAGGTCGACAGAACCGCTCCTACGTGTACTCCGCAAATCTTTGCGCCTGCACGTAACGCAAATCATGCGGCAGAAGTGTGGCACGTGTTGTCAGCGTACCAGCGGATCGTAAGTGTAATGGAAGCTGCCCCGTGCGATTACACAACGACGAGATTTCAGTTTAAATATGGAAGCTGTCAATCTCCCCACCCTATTCCTCCTCTATACGCTGTAATTAATAGTAATCGCGCTCTTTTTCCCGTTTTAATCGTTGAATTTATTCCGACAACC